GTTCCCTTCCCTGCAGGCTTGATCACCCCCAACTGTCCTCCATTGTAGGCCTTGTCCCTCCCAACTGTCCTCCCCTGCTGGCCATCTTGTGGTGGCCATCTTGTATGTTGGAGTGATGGTCAATTTGCATACTACTCTTTTATTAGATATGATATTATGTCTGATATGCTGTTTTCCCAAAATACCCCATCTAAAAATGATAGTTCATAAATGATAATTCATAAAATACAGAGCATGCTTAAGAAGAAAAATAAACCATTAAAATTTACTAAAGTATGACCAAAAAAATCATAAACCTATAAGCTCTAGCACAAGTTGTTTAAAAAGGAAATCCCCCAAAAAACTACCTAAAAATAATCTAAAATTTTTTTCCCCATATATCAAAGTAGGAGTGGTATGATATAACTCCTAGATTTCATCAAATGTCAGATAATATCTTAATCTGAATTTATTCCTTCAACAGAAATCCTACCCTTAAAAGACCTTCATAAAATTGATGATTGCTAGATTCTAGGAATAAAAAAAAAAAAAATTAACACAATCATAAAGAATGGGTTTGTATGCCAAACAACTAATTTAGAAATAGATTGATTTGATGTTCCAGAATCAGAAAAATTAGAAAACATAAAATAATTAAAATGATCCTAAGTAACTCCAAATCTGCTAAAATAGTAATTTGGCTTCAATTAGTACCATCTTAAAATCTGACTGAATTTGATAAAGGCTCTCAGTTTTAAGGTTTCAGTGGAAAACAGAATGAGAAAGGGAAAGCAGAGGAAGATCAGGGTAGTTGCTAGAAGATGGGTATTAGGTAAGCAAGGAGGCACCATCTGAAGGCCAGGTGAACTGGTCAGAGCCCAGTGAACCAGACTGGTTATAGGAAGGTAGCCCCTGAAGCACATCTGTAGGATTTTGATAAAGCACAGGAAAGTCAGGTTAAAGGTGTACAGGCTATACATATAAGCCAAGAAATTGGAAATAAGGAATTCAATGGTCGAACTCTGATGGGATGGGATAAGGATAGGGTCTGACCCTGCCCATAAGAAACATGAAGGTAGTGTAGGTGAGGTGGGAGCGGGCAGAGATGGGAGAAATAGAAAGTGGAGATTAAATAGAAAGTGGAGATAAAGTGGAATAACCACCGAAATCAAAACCTGGGTGTGTAGACACCAAAGACTAGCAATGGATCCCAGCTAGATCTGACTGCATGCCAGGCAAAATAAATCAGACCATAACAGGCTGAACATGGCACAGAACACCTACAGCAAAAGTTGTGTTGATGTCAATCTGAGCAATTGAGGTAGGGGCTCCTTTTCTGGGATTCCAGCCTAGACTATGAAAGAGGCCAGGTGTGGACATCCTAGCCAAGAACGCTCCTCACCTTAAGTTGGTCTGTTCATATTTATTTTGTGGCAATCTCACTAAGGATTTGGCATAACCTGTCCTTCCCTTTCATTTCCTTAATAACCTCAACTGGGCGGGTAATCTCTAATGAGCATCTGGGGAACAATGACAGCTACTGTTTAAGCTACTGTAGCTGCAATACACTTGCCACATGGGACAGCGGCAGGTGTACATTTGTGGCCACTATTTCTTTCCTTTAAAAAAGAACAAATTGCTCAGTGGTGAGTTAGGTAAGGCTGGAGAAGTACTGAAATTAGAGAACATACAGTTCTTAACATAGAAGATATTTATTCCACAATAAGGAGATATGTCATATTTAACAGCCCTGCCTTACTATGGAAAAGACGAAAAGTGCTCTAAGCCAGTTTGATTCAATGGATAGAGCGTCAGCCTGCAGATCATAGGGTCTGGGGTTTGATTACGGTCAAGGGCACGTACCTTGGTTTCAGGCTCCTCCCCAGCCAGGGCCCTGGTCGGGGTGTGTTCAGGAGGCAACCCATTGATGTGTTTCTCTCACAAAGATGTTTCTCCGGTCTTTCCTTCTCTCTTTCACTCTCCCTAAAAGTCAATAAGTCAATGGAAACATATCCTCAGAGGAGAAGGAGGAGGAGGAGGAGGAGGAGGAGGAGGAGGAGGAGGAGGAGGAGGAGGAGGAGGAGGAGGAGGAGGAGGAGGAGGAGGAGGAGGAGGAGGAGGAGAAGAAGAAGAAGAAGAAGAAGAAGAAGAAGAAGAAGAAGAAGAAGAAGAAGAAGAAGAAGAAGAAGAAGAGGAGGAGGAGAAAGAAAGAATGAAAGAAAGAAAAGACTAAAGGCAACTTAAATGTGCAGTAGACTAACATGTGGTTCAGCCGTGACTGTTAAAAGAGAACTGCAATCACGGAAGTGAAATTCTACAAGGTGAAAAGTAGAGCAAGGTAACGACTGAAACTCCTCTCTGGCTCCCTGTCCTGCATACTACCCCCTCTCCTAGCCACAGGAGGGTCTGGAGCTTCCGCTAGTACACTCACTGCATGCTTCCAGCTCGATCCTCCAGCCTGGCGATTTTCAAGTGCTGTGCCACAAGAATTTTTAAAACATGCAATATCTGATTGTTTAGGCCTCTTTTCCCTTAGATTGTAAAAAATAAAAAATGACAATAGTCAACACAACAATAGCTGTCCGATGTGAATGAATAAAAATTATACCTTTTCTTTTGTTAGATCAGCAAAAAAAAAAAAAATTTTTTTTGGTATGCCACAGAATTATAGTAATTAGTTTGTATGGCATGAGATGACAAAGGTTAAAATCCTTACCCCAAAACAGATTCTGTCTTATTGTTAAGCATTCATTTGTTCTTGTGAGAGGTAGTACAAAAGCACACTAATTTATAAATTAAATTATCAGTGGACAAGTTATGCTTCTAGTCCAAAATTCTAGAAGTACTTAATCATAATTAACAATCATGTTTTCTTTCTTCTACTTGAATTCTTTCTGTTAGAAAAATTAATCTCTAACCAGCCATGCAAATAATTTAGGGGGAAAAGGGATTTATGTTTTACTAATATGTTCTTCCAGCTTCATGTCAAGTGCATAATAAACAAAAGCTAAATTAACCTGTACCAATCTAATTCTGACATAATTTCTAAGACTATTACAATGTTATTCAGAAAAATTGCATGTGAAATTTTAATTTCAAGACAAATAATTATGATTTTTGCACTTATAAAATAGCTTCACTAAGTTTAAATTTTCCTCATGTGAAAAGAATTCCTGCTGGTAACTTCCTGTTTGCTTTTTTCCAACTTGACCTCTACTGTAAATGTGGGTTACTATACATATTCATTCTTTTTCCTAATTTTTATCATATTTTAGTCTTTATGACTCTTAACAATATTAATTTTCCTTACACTCTTTACCTTCATTTTGCTAGTATAGAATTTCTTTTTCAAGACTGCACTGTTAGTCTAGGTAATTACAAAAATTATCACATTATAAGACACAATTCTCTGTCCTTGAGGATTTGTGAGTTATAAGCCCATTTCTCCCATCTGCTTTTTACAATAGTGGTTAAAAAAATAAAATTTAAGACTATGTAAAACATAGGTTGATGTTATCTAGAGTAATAAATACAAGACAGTCAGAGAACAAATAGTTCTCATTAGTTGGCAAGATCCTGTGTTTTAATCTTCTGTATTATGTAAAACTTAATTTCCATTAATAAACGATAATCATGTTTGATATTACTGTATTTACATAATGAATACCAGTGTCACCATGTGCTCAGCAACATCATCTCGTGTGTTGACAGTAACTGCACAGTTGAGATAGCTTATGAACCAGAATATGCTGACTTGGTTGGCAGGAAACCAGGAGGAATCAAATGGATCACCATGTTGTCTCAGACAGAACCCTCAAATGTCCCCTCTCTTGCCACAAAGTGATTACACAGTAAGCTTCAAGTCAGTAAAGGCCAGAACATCAGTGGAAAGCCGTTACTTGGCTAAGCCTGAAGTCCTAAGACATATTTCGGAACTATGGGTGCTTGAATTAACGTCTAAATCTAATGATTGCCACAATGAGATTAAAAAACAAATATACAAACTATGTACCACATATACCGAACAGTTCTTAAAAAAAAAAAAGAGAGAACATTTTTTTAAAAACTTCAGCAATTTAAAAAATATATATTTTATTGATTTTTTTTTTTTTTTTTTTTTTTTTTTTTTTACAGAGAGGAATAGAGAGTTTAAACATTGATGAGAGGGAAACAATGATCAGCTGCCTCCTGTACACCTCCCACTGGGGATATGCCTGAAACCAAGGTACATGCCCATGACTCAAATCGAACCTGGGATCTTTCAGTCTGCAGGCCGACGCTCTATCCACTGAGCCAAACTGGTCAGAGCAAAACTTTAGCAATTTTAACTTTAATTAATATGATAGTATTATTTTCAAATATATTTTCTGAGCCTCTGAAGTAGATAGGTCGTGAGGAAAGAAATGCAGTAAGAAAAACTTGGCTCTAGGCTATACCCAAGTTGAATCACTAAAAAATCACATGAATATGCAAAACAAACGTTTTTAGTCTGGAGAGATGTGATCCACCCCAACATTCTGTAAACTTACCTGCTTTAAAGGGTGATATTTTAGCATTAAAAGCTTTAGAAAATAATCCCGAATTCCATAACCTTACTGAATGTTTACTTCCTCATGTCACTGCCTATTATACACAGGAAATGATTTAATATAACCTAAAGCTTCTTCAGCAAGTAAGACTTGTGCTCCCACTCCTCCCAGCCTCTACGTTCAGAAGAAAAACATTTTAAATTTAGGTTACCGTCTAATTATCAGGCAGTTTTTGAAGTTAAAATGGCTACTTTAACATTTCTGCATGCAAAACAAAATATCTTATTTTAGTGTTTTCAACTATATTAAAATTTGTTAAACCAAAAAGGGGAAAACCAGAGCATGAACAACATGGCAAGAAGTTCCAAAAAGCTCAGTCTGGCCACAATGTAGAATATTCTATGGAAAAGAATGAAAATGGACAAAGAGACCCAAAGAAGCCTCAACCCTCCTCCATCCCCTGTAATAGACCAACAAAAATCAAATAAGTACCTCAAATAGAAAGGTGACATGGGTCTTTCATCCTCCTGTGAACTAAAAGAAAATACGTTTTGAATTAATATAATTTCTATTAATATTTTATATTATATTGACTTTACTTAAAACTCTGTCCTGTCACAAATTTTGTTTTGACACATCGGAGCAGGGGTGGGGAACGTACAGCCCATGAGCTGTGTAAGGCCCTCAAAATCATTTGGTCTGGGTGAGTTTATTAAATGTTTGATCAAATTCAGCAGGCCAATTTTCAGGTTGGTAATGTTGTGTGGCCCTCAAAGGCTGTTATAAATACCCCAATGGCCCTTGGCAGAGAAAGGTTCCCCACCACTGCCTTAGAGCTAAACTCACGATGCACTGAGGTGAGTAAAAGACACTTTGCCTTGGACCTAACCAAAGTCAGTGACTTCTTCATGGAAGACCATCAAGGGAGGTTTCTTTCAAAATTAGCTGAAGGCAAAATGATTCAACATGGAACTTTCAAGAGGAAGATCAGCCGGTCAGAGAAAGATAAATATCACACGATCTCACTCTTTGAGGAATATAACGAAAACATGAATTGATGAACAAAAACTGAACCAGAGTTATAGAAGCATCGAATAGACTGTCCAATCTATGAGGGAAGGCAGGGGAGGGGGAGGGTAAGAGGTCAACCAAAGGGCTTGTATGCATGCATATTAGCATAACCAATGGGCACAGATGGGGGAGAAATGGAGGGTAGAGAGGGAGTGATGGGGAGAAGTCAATGGGGAAAAATGGAGACTTATGTAATACTTTCAACAATAAAGAACTTTTTAAAAAAGAGGAAGCTTTTTATTACCTTATTCTACAACCCCAATCCAAGTATTCATATATTGTATCTAAATTCTTAAATGATTACATACTCAGTTATCTAAATAAAGCTAATTATAGCTCAGTAACATGATGATGAAAGAATCAACTCTCAAAAATATTCCTGTTAAGGTGTGAGCCACTTCAAAAAACGATGGCCCAGTAATGAAAAGCGCAGCAGTGAACAGCACTCCTGCTCTCTGTCTTCTGTATTGCTCTAAGTATTAACGCGTGCAGATAATATAAGAGAACATAATGGAATCATAAAAAGTTTAAGTTTTCCAAACAACAGAGAAGCAATATGAAGCTTAATATAGAGTATTCAATTTTAAAAATGCAAACTAGATACCATAATAAAATTACTTTTTTCCCCCCTTTCTTTAACACGATTTTCTTCTTTCTGAGAAATGACCCCAAAACAAAGGATGAGTCTCTGTGCCCTGCACTGTCTCCTGGAGTAGTCTTCCAGCTTTTTTGAGTATGCACTCATATAAAATTAGGTTTGCTTTTCTTTTTAAAAAATGTGTATTTTTTTTTTTTTTTTTTTACTTCACAGAGGAAGGGAGAGGGAGAGGGAAATAGAAACATCAATGATGAAAGAGAATCACTGATCGGCTGCCTCCTGCACGCCCCACACTGGAGATGGAGTCTTCAACCTTGGCATGTGCCTGATGGTAATCAAACCTTGACCTCCTGGCTCACAGGTAGACGCTCAACCATGGAGCCACGCCCTACGGGCAGGTTTGCTTTTCTTAATGCTTCACAAGCTTCTGTTTCACTCTTGAGCAGGGACATGCTCATCTTCTCTGTGTCATGCCAATTGTAGTACATGTGCTGCCAAAGGGAGCGCTAAAATTAGTTTTTAAGCAGCCACTCCCCTCAATATATAACTGAGTATTATGTACATCATTAAGCAAAGAAAAAGTAGAAATGTAAAGTATTAGCTAAAAATAACTAATTAGAAGCTCTAATATTTTTTCTTGTACCCCTATTGTGAAATCTTATACACCACTTGGGATGTATACTACCTTTGGGGAGACAACTACTTAACTTTTGTTCTCTCTCTCTCTCTCTCTCTCTCTCTCTCTCTCTCTCTCTCGCCTATTAAATATGTTTAAGCATCATTAATGAAAAGGGAAGTTTGCTTCAATTGGTAACATTACACTGGCAATCACCAAAATCTTATTACAAAGCTATTCACACACACACACACACACACACACACACACACACACACACACCACCCTAAAAGCTGGAAATGTCTTAACATTTTATTTTTTTTAAATATAATTTTATTGATTTCAGAAAGGAAGGGAGAGGGGGAGAGAGCTAGAAACATCAATGATTAGAGAGAATCATTGATAGACTGCCTCCTACACACCCCACACTGGGGACTGAGCCCACAACCCAGGCATGTGACTTTGACGGAACCCTTCAGTCTGCAGGCTGAGGCTCTATCCATCCACTGAGCCAAACCGGCTGGTGATTAACATTTTAGTTGGGAGATGGCACAAAGAATGAAATACTATTTTTCATTCTCTTGAGGTTTTGGTATCCAATTTCAATATCACTTAGCTGTTCTAATGTTTATGTTGCCAAAGATTTTAATGTTTGTAACCGATAGTGCCAATTCTTCCCATGGGGAGGGTAAAGGGTGATTCGCCTTATTATCAACTCTAATGTGGACGGGCTTGTAGAATGAAGTTGCAGAGCTGGAAAGATAGAGGCAACTACACCTGAGGTGCGTGCAGATGTCTTGGGAAGAAACCCCCAGGAGCAGTGCTATCACAGGAAGTGGTAAGCCAAACTGATACAAGGAGCTTACACATTTGACTTTAAAATTCTCCTTGTAAAACAGAAGGAATTCTTATCATTTGCAGCAACCTGGAGGGAATTGGAAAACATCATGCTGAGTGAAATAAGCCAGTCAATGAAAGAAAAACACCACATGATCTCACTCATTTATGGATAATAAGGAACATTATAAACTGATGAACAAAAAGATAGATACAGACAGTAAAGCAACAGACTGTCAAATTACAGTGGAGAGGATAGGGAGATATGGGGGAGATAAGAGATCAACTGAAGGACTTGTATGCATGCATATAAGCATAACCAATGGACGCAAAACTCTGGGAGGGGAGGGCATGTATGGGAGTGGGGGGATGATAAGATATGTACACATATAATACCTTAATAAAAAAGTGAGAGAAAAAAATATTCCTTGAAAGTACTTAAAATAAATTATAAACATATTAGAATTAAGTTTATTTCATAATCAAGGATTCGGTGTCAAAAAGTACTAATTATAACCAACAAGATGCAAAAAGGCTGCAACTAAAAACCTGTAATGATTTTATTTGAGAAAAATTGCCTCCATGTGTTATAAAATGGACACCGTACTTAATATTTCTTTGCCCAGAACAGATCATTAACTCTAAGACATGTCAAATTATAATGAAAATTAACACCGGTACTTTGGTGAACATTTAATTATCAATGTGGTTGGCTTGCTTAGAATTTAGAAGTGCTTTTGGTAGATGACTTACAGTGAGATGATGCAGCGTTCTGAACACAGCTGTTCATGTGTTTTGGCTAAATTTCTTTGTAGCAAACAAAGACAATCAAAATCAGTCAATCCTTTCTTCCTTCACACCTTCTCTCCCTCAATCAGCAGCAGTCAACAAGGCACCAATCCACGCCAAGTAGAACAATATAATTTGAAAAGACATGAGGATGGCATAGCTGCCTTGGCTGACCTATGAACTAGGAGGTTGTGGTCCGATTCCCAGCCAGGGCACATGCTTGGATTACGGGCTTGATCCCGGGAGAGGGGCTTGCAGGAGTCAGCCCATCAATGATTCTCATTATTGATGTTTCATCTCTGTCTCCTTTTCCCTTCCTCTCTGAAATCAACAAATATATATATATTTTTTAAAAATGAAGAGCCCAGCTGGCATGGCTCAGGGGTTGATAGTTGACCTATGAACCAAGAGGTCATGGTTCAAATTCCGGTTAGGGCACATACATGCCCAGGTTACAGGCTCAATCCCCAGAGTGGGGTGCACAGGAGGCAGCCAATTAACCTTCTCTCTCATCATTGATGTTTCTAGCTCTCTCTCCCTCTCCCTTCCTTTCTGAAATCAATAAAAATTTTTACTTTTTAAAAATTAAGAAAATGAGGATAAGTAACCAATTCTTACAGTTAATTGGCATAGTCCTCTTTCCCCTCTCATAAAAGTACTCATGTCTGAAGTTTAGTAATGTAATCTTGATAAACACATAAATTCTGAAACAACGAAAGCATTGATTTCAAATGGATTAAATCAATTAATTGTAAAATACTGAGTTTTAAAAGCAATTTTAAGAAAAAATGGCCAAGGACAACTCTTCCAAATAGGTTTGAGAAAATAAGCTTTTCCACAAAACTTACATATGATAATGCAAAACATTTGACATGAACACCATGCAAAATGGGTATAGTGCTATTATTACAGGCCTCAGACATCTATTATGGAGATTATTCATGCCTGTTTATGGTTTTGTGTTACTCTCCCAGGCATGCCCAGTTATATGAAATCAGTCCTATTTTTGCCTAAATTTTAAATTGAGAATTAATTCCAATTTACTTTTAATTTTTTTTTTAAAGTGCATGTAATGTAGAGGAAAGAAGGAATGTGTATCATGAAATTAAGCCAGTGACAAATTGTAACAACTTGGAATTCATTCAATTTCCTCTGGTTGCTAGTATGAACCCCATATTTTAATCGTTTCCTGTTTGCTGACTCTGAAAAAGGGCCCAGCTTAAGTAGCTAATTCACTTGCTTTTATTTAAAAAAATTTTTTCAAACATATACCGAAAGATGTGGGTAATCAACTCATGTATGTCAGGCACGCAGGTGCTTACTGTCCTCAGATTGTGGTATTACACTCTCTCCAAACAACTGCCGGTGGGAAGGACATGTATCAAACCTATCCAAGTAATAGTCCAAATCTAAGAAGCTACGAAAGAGGATGATGATAACGCAGATATTGGGGTTTCAGTAGGGTCCTATCTAACTTGTTTTTCAACAGGGCACAACACTGGTAAGTGCAGAGAAATGAATGACACATAGACGACTCTTCACGAGCTGGAATAATTTCTAGATGGAAGCCACAGAAGGCAATGCCTACCGGTTTAATTACACAGCAGCTAACTGAAATCATGA